TTGGATATGTCTGCTTATATGAGAAAATAAAATAAGGGTTGCCATAAAGGACGGATTTTAAATGATGTAAACCTCAATTCAGGCCTGACATGGATGTAATATTAATGAGCATTTGCCTTTTCTAATTCTGGTCACCCCTCAGCACAGAATGTCAACCCCTGACTCTAAAATCAAGAACTCCACACAAAAAACTATCAGCCGTTCGCAGGCGGCATAGTATAAACTATAGGTCCACTGCAGGTGAATAGACAATAAGATATTAAATGACAAATTGGACTTTTTTACCTCTTTTTCAATTGAGTGCAGATATTCCTCTTCCCCTGCTTCCACCCGCTGGTATTGCACCGAAAACTTTCATAGCCAGAGGATTGGTATTCATACGGACTACACGGCTTAGCCAACGCAACCGTTACATTTTGATTTGCTGAACTATTACTTCCGGCTCGTACAGGACCTTACACAAAGACTTGGCTGGGAAACTCTTAACGCCGATTCATCAGATGTTTTCATCGTCCATGCCTCCGCATCATATAACAGGACGGTCGCGATAAGAGACTCGTAGGGTTTGGTTTTCATACGCTTTTCAATTGATTACTCAGTCCAAAGTAGCACCTGTTTGAAGGACTGATTCTGCGTTGGATTTCCAGGCTGACATTGTTGTTGGTGTTAATACTGGCTCGTAGAAGGTCGAAATTATCTACGACTTCACAGTTATAATTGTCAGCAGTGACGTGGGAGCCGAGACGAGAATGCGATGACTGTTTGTTTTATGACAGCAGATATTTCGTCTTGTCCTCCTTCACTACCAGACCCATTTGCTTCGCTTCTTTAACAAGTCTGTAGAAAGCAGAACTAAAGGCGCATTTTCTGAAGTCATTGTTAATATTATATAATGGGCAAGCGCCAGCAAGTATAGCAGATTTTCCTTTACTATGTAGCTCTGCAACCCGTATTATTTAGTTAGGCACAAACCCCCTATGGAAGGGCTCGGAGAGGTCCTTCCCGATCCTGACGGAGTTTCTGGTGTTGCTTAACGTCAGTTTACATATCCGGCTAAGTTATAAGGATACCGAACTCAGACATAGGGCCGTAAAGGCAACAACGAGGAGGCTTTAGAACCGGCGAAGAGGTGGGTTGTGTTTTTCCTCCTTTCACGTGTCTTTTCCTATCGGGAATCGTTTTTAGCTTCTGCGCTTAACAGTATATGTCTAAACATTTTTTTTTTCGTCATATCATATTCTAGCTACTCGAGCTAAAGCGACAGAGTTTAGTTCAACTGGAAATACAGAAGGAACATAAAGACTTTTGCCAACGAAACACAGGAGCGAAGGTCACTCAACTTCATGAATTATAAGCTGTCAACTCGAATGGATCTTACGACATTCGGTGCTCAGTTAACAAGCATGGTTTATATGATTTATTCGTATTTAAACTCTCAACAAATAACTCGCCTTGCCATCTTAATGATAAAAGTATATTTTGACCGTTTTCAGGCGACTAAATCAATTAGAAAAGTTTGATATTGTGACGGTAAAGACCTTGGAACTTTGGTCTACTACTCAATTTAAATCTTCAAGCCCTGTAGTCCTCGCAAGATATTGTAGTTGCTTTATTTTCCTATGGAACTAAACTTTGACGAAGCGAAAATTGGCCACGTCACAGCAATGACTAAGAGAGTATTCCCCCACCAAAGAGAGGGGGAAAGTATGAAAGTACAGATGAAGTGAGCGAGAAAAAATTAGTTTCTCTGAAGCCCGATTGGTGTGTAAAATCAAGAAAATATAAATAGAAAAATAAGTTCAAAGCAACTTGGCAACCCTTGCCCTTATTTGGGGTGTGCTATAAAACTACCAACTGCCAACTAGTTATGTCAGGTATTCTTTTTAAGGGAAAGAGGAAATGTGGCATGACACGTTGTGACATTTTACAACCTGTGAAATTGGCGTAATAAAAGTGAAAATTGCTTTTATAAAAAAGCAAATATATAAGCATTTAATAGAGATTATCATATACATAAGCGTGCATACGACTATGAAAGAAAAAGGTATGATAAAAGAAAGTAAAGAGAAAAAATATTAGAGACAAAAACAGAAAGAAGAAAAGTGGGGGTCGTGCTTTACACATTTTTTAGGAAGAAAAGCTCGACAAAACTACTCACCAATTTTTTTAATCATATCTAAGTAATTATTTTGATATAAAATTATACTGCACTGAAAATGAATATCGTTTCCTTGGATTATTAAATATTTGATCTGAAAAATTCTGGTAAATCCTTTTGCGTATGTGCTGAATTTTCCACCATTTTTTTTTTTTTTATGCATTTGTTTTCTCAAATTCTCGTACCTGAATTCCCTAAAAAAATCTTTTTTTTTAATTTTTTATTAATATCTTAAAAAGTTCTTTTTAGTAAAAAGTGCGCTCCTTTCATAAAATAATAATTCTCTTTCTTCTTTAAATTGTTTATATAATTATTACAATGGCTTTACACATTTTTTGTGTTTTTTTAGTATTTTTTGTTTTACTCTGAATAACTGCACACTTTGCAAGTCAATTACGTGGCGCAAGTTCACATATTTTTGTGGCAAATAAGCCAAGCTAAAGTCAGTCGACTCAGATTGTGGCAGGCAACATAACACGAACAGTCTAAAAGCCTGAAGGCAAACGGCAGGTAGGCAACAGTGTTGGCAAATGTGAAGCAACAACAGAATAAACAAAGATAAAAAAGAACAATAAAGCAAAAAGAAATAATTATAAATAATAGTAAAAGGGAAAATAATAGAAAAATTAATAAAGTATTTGTTGAAGGTGAATTTTTGTGAGGAGAGATGCTGCATTATTTCATAATAAGTAAAAAACCACAGCCACCCACATATGAAACTTAAAATATTTCTACTAACTTGCTGAGAAAGCAAAGGAGTAGTAAGATTATTTCCTCATACAATATATAAAAGAGAGAGTGTGAATTAGTTATGTAGGGCATTACTCTTCCCAGCAAAAATTTTCAAAGCGTATTTTAAAAAATTTATAATTAAACAAATTTTTTTTTTTAATTCTGATATACTTTTTTAACTGGTTACCAACTAGTTACACTGGACACTAGTTTAGAAAAAATTAATTTAATACTATTTTTCAATTGCTGCTTAATTTAAATGATTTTTAATTGAAAATTAACGTAATTCGCTACTGGTTACATTTGAAACTAGTTTCACACTGGTATCACTTGTTCCAATTCAAAGCTGATGTACTGAAAAATCTTTATTAAGGATTGTTTAATAAATTTCGTTCAGTATGAAATTTATTTACAACTTTATTTTATTTTATTTTTTAATTACTCGCCCTTAACCCTCTACGGCACATTATCAGCCAGCACAAAGTTTCTGTGCTATTTCTGTTTGCGGTTATGAGTTCGCCACGACTTTGGCGGTTCGCATGGCATGCGTGCTTATTACATACTTTTGCGTTAGTAATGTCAAACTTTTTTAATTAAATTGAACTTTTGTATACACTTGTAGCAGCGTGCGAAGGTGGATGCCGGAAAAAATAAATCTCATATGAGGAAATGCTGAAGAGTGTGTGTGAATGTTGTTGTCGCTGGTTGCTGGTATTTAGCGAATTTAACAACTCGCAGAAGTCAAGCTGAGTTCGTGAAACTTTTTTGTGCAATCCGAGTACGAACGAAAGGTAACCGGCAATGGAAGTTTTCAGGATTAAGTGCTGTGAAAGGATGTAAGAAAAGTTGGTTCGAAAGTTTTCATTTAATTTTCATTTCATTAGCAAACAAAAAATAATTCAAAATATTTAAAAATTAATTTTAATAATTTTAAGTTATTAAAAATTGGTTGATCCAAAGATCCTTCTTTAGCGGAGGCGCAAACCTTATAAATATTTTTATTTCATAAGAAAGGCAAAGCTTCATTACCTAACTACACTGTGTTAGAGCTAATGTTTTGATAGTCTGTTTGAAATTTATCGAGATCCAGAAATCGCCTCAAAAAGAAGGATACTAGGTAGAACTATAACCGCTATGATAGCACTAAGAGTCCTGGAGGGAAAGGTTTTGCGAGAAATGTATAGTCAGTCCTTTGGGAATTAGTAGTAAGCAGATGATCTGTACGAGACATACGACTACATTGACATAGTTCAGCGAATTAAGAAACCGGCTCCACTCCCCAGGTCTGCGTGGATGAAAGCACCTGAATGTGTTCGACACAGTACTCGCTGTTGGGCGCAAAAGAAGAAAAGGGCATCCACTCCAAGGGAGGAATCACGTGTTGTGCATCTTCGCTTGATGTGGAGTTTCCAGTTGCCTCCAAGTAGTGAAAAGAAGAATCGAATGCGTGATATTGTCGTCGGCTTAATTGATTAAGCGATGCCCACACCAAGGAAAAAAGTGAAGACGAATATGGGAAAACCAAAAGCATACTGTAAGAATTTCTTAGCAGGCAGGCAAAGCTCTTAGCTCTGCAATTCTCAGAAGACTTATGTGTCAACACAGTTAAGAAATATTTAACAGAGAGATATCAACCAAGTTTCTCGTGAATACGTCCTACGCTCCTTGGAAAGCCCCTACTCGCTATTGCTGAACAAAAATCTCACTTAATTTGTATAGTTGCTTTCTTCACCCTCATTCTTCGCCTCTTTAACAACTTAATATTGCGCTTCTAGAAGTGCGCTGCGTGCCAGTAGAAGTCTTAAAACTCCACTTTACATTACCTTGTTGCTGGTAGATTCCGGCTACGGCTCGAATAATCTAAAATCCTAATTATTTAATTGGCACTTAGTAACTGTATCGAATTAAGCCAAGCTCCCTCTCTAATTTTTAGTATGCCTCGAGATGATTTTCCAACATATAAATGTTAAGCCATCTCCGAATGGCTAATTTTATGCTAGAAATACACTCGAAAGTCTTTGCATTCCCTACTTAGGGACGAAGAACTCAGTTTCTATAAATTTGCATGTTGGTCGAACAGGCTTTGCGAATGGCAGTACGCAATGCTTACCATTCGTCCATTCCGGTCGCTTCACAAGTCACACGTCTGCAAACAACTTGAAGGAAGCATTCAAACAGTTAAAGAAGATGTGAAACAAGATTTGAAGCCACTTACCCCTTCCATCTCACTTGTTATTGTGCCAAGCTGGTTTACTTCAGCTTTGTATTTCTCAATCCCGTTCTCTTCAGTTTTTTAAAATCAAATTAACACTGCATTAAAACCTACAAATTAGTTCAGTCAAAAATCAATATCCAACCAATTTTTCCTAGTTGCGAATTTCGATAGCCAGGCAGCTAGCCAACCCGCCAACGCGTTCTTTTTCGTATCCAGAGAGACAAATACGAAATTGGCTCTTCACTACAACAGTGTAGCATATGTAAAGAGGGACTCAACTCTTCATTGCTTCTGATAGCTTTAACCTTTGCCTTTCATTCTACATTAACTTTTATTTTTTTTTCTCAGCTCTCAAACTTGTCCGCCTGCCATTTGGCATTCGGCATTTAGACATTTTTTAGGTAATATATTATTTCCGGATGATTAGCTGCGTGTCCATGCCTTTCGTATCAGTGGATTTCCAGTGAAGACTTCATTGGCGGTGGAGCTGTGCTAAAAAATTGAGAAGAAGGGAATATTATGAAAAAATTCGAAAATTGGTGAAGAAAAATTTTATAGCTTTTTTTTTTTTTGGAATAATTGGCCTTGCTACTTGTGTAGCAAAAAAAAGTTACATACATACATATGTACATAAATTTACATACAAATTTGAAAGAGTTTCATATTTGCATTTTACTGTATGAGTTACCACCATATTGACTGCTTGGTTGTTGGCCTGCTGGGCTTCTGTGCCTCGGGCTGATCTTTTCTCCACACGCTTGACTGCGTTTTCACACATCAGTGCCAAACTGAAGCGCTTCAGCTGATTGAGAGCTGGGTAGCTGGAAAACGATTACTAGCTCGTTCGAGGGAAACGAAAAACTTTTATACATTCCTTTATATTATGTACGTATGGAACATATTCATTTCATATATACTCGTTTGTATATATGCAACACATAAATCCTCTATGGATGCCTTTATTAGCTGAGCTTTTAATCCTCAACGTGGTCTATTCCCAACATTATTTCTGGACTAACCTATATATGCTTCTTTTCTCTACAGTTATGCCGAGTTTCGGGTTCGCGACGAGGTGAACTCAACATAATAAGATTTTCCACCTGCGTCCTTGCATGTAGAGAAGTATTCATACGTTACTGGCTTTCCAGAGGACAAGCATATCCGCGCCGCCACTAAATAAACTTGTGCTTGCATAGATGGGAAGTGGTACCTCACCACGGTATTTCCAGAGGGAGGGTAGGTCATTCAAAACTCTGAATATCTGTGTATGCTATGTTCGTTAAACTGGAGGTACATTATTTATAATGCACGAGCTCCACAGGTTGCACTTTGGGCTTGTTCCAGGGTTTTCTTTGTGTCTATGGATTGCAGAGCTACATTCCAAATTTACTTCTCAATTTTCCTGAGCAAACAAAAAAAATTGAACTCTGTAAATTGCCGCCTCAGAGTAAACCCAAACCCAAAAGAATGGAATATACACATGAGAGGGTGTAAAGAAGCTCTTGTCGAAATAGATTGAAGTGAAGAGCGCTTCCGAACTATTGGAGTGATGGAGAGATGAGGCTTTAACTTACGCAGATTCCGGATGAATATTCATATCTCCAATAGCAAAGAGGTCTAAATACAAACGGTGTGGAGTGGATGTTTTGGTATTATTCCAAATGCACACACTTTAAACTTACAAAAACTTTAAACTTACAAAAGAGAATAGTATTTTTAGCGCTACAGATCAGTTTGTTCTCGTATGCTTTATTACCATGATCAAAATTGCCGAAGCATTTTCTACTTAAAAGAAGAGTAGTATCGTTAAATAAAATGCCGACATCTTCAGCGATTCATCACGACATCGCCAGATATGAAATGGCTGTGTGACGGTTATCTTGTTGGACCACATGTGTGTACTGATTCCTGAGTAGAGGAGTTGGCTCTTATATCCAGGATTTTTATGCACACAAGGAAGACTGGAATGGAAATTTTATTTCGACGGATTTCGAACGAGCACATCCTTCAATATGTGGTTTGCATCTTAATGGTTTTCTAAGAACTAGATACAGTTAAACCTTTTCCTAAGTATCCTCCAAACAGCCGCTGAATTTTTAATAGGAGATTTTATTATTGTTTACAGACTTTTCGTTTTATGGGCTTTAAAATTACGCCTTAATTTACTGATTTTCTCTAGAAGTGGATACACACTACCTTTCGGCTTTTTTCCCAAGTCGCTTGAGGATCAAAACGCAGAAATCTTGATTATTTTCAAGAGCAAAATTCGCAAAGAAATTTACTTAGTTGGACTAACCAAGAAAAGTATTAAATGATCGGGAATTGACGGATCTTTTAAAATGCAGATAAGGAAAAATAAACTTAATTTTAATACTTCGACATTCATGACAATACAGATTATATTGTGCATTTTAAGATTTAATTTGAATTGGATTATTCTTCTCTTTTTGTGCTCATAATGGGAGTAAAATTTAGGACTTTTAATTGTTTTTCTGGCTTCAATAATACTTTAAATGTATTCACCTGTAATTCGCATAACTTAAATTCCTTTTAAAAAAATAGCCGAAATGTAGGCAACGTTTTATGAAAGTACTCTTTAATGTTAAACGTTGCACACATTTAGGCAAATTTAGTTATTTTTTTGTTATGGACAAGTTGTTGGAAAAAAGGTTAGACTGATTTAAAATAATTAGCATCGACACTTAAAATTTCTGTTTTCTTTAAATACATTTTTTAAATGTCACTGCGGAAATTTTTTTATGTGAATTGTAAACAAATTTTTCATGCGAAGATTGTCGTAAATACCTTTAGCTATTTATTGGTCCAGAAATGGGTTCAGTCGCTCTTAATGAAAAATATACAAAAAAGAAGTTGTTCACTTTAATTCCTCTAATAAAGGCTAGTTCCTTTGCAAGCAGTAGAAAAATTGTTGTTTTCTTATATATATATATTTTTTTTTTAAATAATTTCGTTCAAAAAACTCAATCCAGTCTCTAAATATTTTAGGTTTTCTATTTACTATTTTTTTTTTAATTTTATGTTAAATTTTCTTTGAAGAAAAAAATTTTTAATCACTCATCCATAGATGGCATGAAGCTCTGAACAACTAAATCAGTCCATTTTAACTTTTTTATTGGTGCCAAGTCAATGAGCTTGCACAAGTTATTTTCAAACAAACTCCCTTGTGTGTATGTGAGTTGCTATTAACACTCCACCTTGAAGTTGAATTCAATTAATAATTATAATTATTTATTTTCACAAAATCCATATGGCATTGACATTGAGCTGAGGACTTTTCGACGGCAATGAGGATTAAGTGAACAAAAGTTTATATAATTATCATTATAAGTATTATTATGAAAAGTCATTGAGGCAAAAAATTAGAAGTGCATTTAAACGTTAATAATTATTTGCAAAAAAAGATAAAAAACATGGAACGATGAAAAATAAATGCAAAAAAGACACACATATATATATGCATAATACGGTTTGTAGATATGCAAAAATCGGAAAGCAAAAAAACTGAAAGTTATTGAAATTTAAATGTCAAACATATATTGACAGAGGACAAAAAGTGTTTGCGCGAGTGTGTGTGAGTTTGAAAAAAGACAGATTCGCATTTCAAATAGACATCTAAAGCTTAAAAGGCTCGACTACCTGCCGTGTGTGCAACGTATGTAGATGTTGTCACTTTAAGCCAAAAGCGATTAAATTTTGCGCCAGAATAAAGACATACACGTATGTACATGTGTACATACTCCAAAAACCCAAAAAAAAAAAAACAAAAAGGACAGCAACGAAGTATGTAGTATGTAGAAAGTGAGAAGCGTGTATTTGTTTGTGTGCGTGTGTGTGTGTGTAGTAGCAGCAGACGAAAATAAATTAAAATCACACAAATGAATCTTTTATTTATGGACAGCTTTAATTAATTTAATGTGGCGCGCCAAATGAATGTCGCAAAAGAGTGTGCGCTGCCCTCGCTACGACTGCCACTGCGACTGCGACTTTAGCTCACTCGACTCGACGAGGCGAGACGTCTGGGCGAGGCTGCCAACTTTTGGACGGTGAGCTGCATTGTGAGCTGTCAATGATGATTCTTATCAGTTCGGACAACTGGTAATATTTCATTATTGACATTGCGGCATTACAAACTACCTGGGAAATAAATAAAGGAATTCATTCAATGTGAATGAATGAATGAGTAAAGGATTCAGTATACTCGTACTATGAGCATAAAAATAAGCGTTGTTGAAGGGAAATTTTAAAAATTACATAGAAAATTAGTTAGTTTCATACAATTAATTGCAATTTAAAAAAATATTGTTTGACTCAAAAAAATATATGCAAAAATTCTTAATAGTTGTGCATGCAAAACCTCTCCAGCTGGTTCTTTGCTAATCTGTAATCCTTTTGCAACCTGCCACAATTTAATTCCACGATCAGCCAGTACTAATTTTTCGACTTTCTGAAGATTTTCTTTGATCACAATCATGTTGAAACAGCTGAACTCATGATTTCACCAACGTAATTTGAAAAGAAAGAGTACTGAAGAGCCGAATATTTCTCCAAAAATTCTTACGTTTCTTTACAAGGTCTCCATTTACCTAGCTTGTTTGCTTGTTCCAGGAACGAAATGTTTTGAACCTAACCAAAAAAAAAAAACAATGTTATTTATACTGATAATCAGTCTTGAAATCAGTATTATCAGTAACAAGATGTTGTGCCATCTCTAACTACCTTAATCGCGAGCTTACCAATCGCTCCTCGTATAAAAAATATCGGAGACTCTACACCAGGGAAACTATTGTACTTCGTTTAGGGTTGTCAAATGGCCAACAAAGTGGTGCTTTAAACGTTTTTTTTTTTGGGACTATGCGAAAGATCGTGCGCATAATCATTTAACTATTGATCACTTGGAAACCAACACTCGTCAAGTTATGGCTGTAATGCGCCCCAATATGTGCCAAAAAGTAGTAGAAAATTACGTCAAACAGATCGAAATTTCTAAAAATTAAGATCTCAAGTTGAACATAAGTATACTCGTTGATTATAATCAGAACCCGCAGAATAATAAAAATACGAAGCGAACATACACGATCTATACTTAGATAAAAAAGTATTATTTATATAAGGATCTTGGTTCCAGGTCTCTGTTCATTTGCAGAAAATAAAAGTATTCCATTTGGAAATGTCAAACGAAAAATAACACAAAACGAACGTTTATTTTTTAGAAATAGGTTTGTCCACCTCGAGGAAAATAATTTAATGTAAAATAAAAATAAATGCGATTTTCTGGTTCACTACTCGGAGAGAAGAGTTGTGGTCCTGCTATTCTAATAAAAAATTCAGCTATATACTGAATTTCAGGTAAATCGTAACATAAATACAATCTTTCAAATTCTCTAAATTGTTTGGAGCAAAGCTTCTCTCGCTTTTAGTCTGGCTCAAAATGTAGGTAACAACTAAAACTTCAGCTACTTTTCTGACCTCCA